CACACACACGAAGTGTTTCCATCTACTGGTTCACTCCCCAAGTGCTCACATGGGCAACACTGGGCTGGGGCTGAAGCTGGGAGCTAGAAACCCAGTCTAGGTCTCCCCTATGGCTGTCAGTAACCCAAGACCTTGAGCCATTGTCTATTGCCTTCCCAGGGTGTACAGTAGCATGAACCTGGAATCAGAAGCCAGAACTGGGAACCAAACCCAGGCATTGTGATGTGGGATGTGGTGTCTTAACCACTAGGCTCATGTGGCAGGCCCATTTCAGAGTGCACAGGCTGGAGACTGACATGATGTAGGAGTTCTCACAGCTCCCACTGTTGAGATCTGCAGGGTCAAACAGGCAAATTGGATGGTCAGAGGCTATCACATGGAAATCCTCGCCTGGCGGCAGGGCAGCCTCAGGCATATTTTATTTGATAGATTGACAAGGGTTGGGACGGAGGGTGGGAAGAGAGAGAGAAAGAGAGAGACAGAGGCTTTCATTGCTGGTTCAGGCCAAAACCAGCAGCCAGGAACTCCATCTGGGTCTCCTGTGTAAATGGCAAGGTCCAGCCACTTGGGTCATCTTCTGCCATCTTCGGATGCAAATTAGCAGGGGACTCAAACTGGTGTTCTGACATGTGATGCTGGCATGGCAGGCAGCAGCTTAGCTCACCGTGCCAAGACACCAGCCCCAGCCTCAGGCATTTTCACGCAATGGAGTCTTTGTGGCAGTGCTGCGTAACTACAGGTCAGCAGTCCATGGGAGAAGCAGAGAAGCGGGCATCCTTTCCATACCAGACCAGAGCCTATTCATTTTTTTTTTTTGACAGGCAAAGTTAGTGTGTGAGAGAGAGACAGAGAGCAAGGTCTCCTTTTTCCATTGGTTCACCCTACACAGAGAGAGGAGAGGCAGAGAGAGAGGTCTTCCCTCCGTTGGTTCACTCCCCAGATGGCTGCAACAGCTGGAGCTGCGCCGATCCAAAGCCAGGAGCCAGGAGCTTCTTCTGGGTCTCCAACGCAGGTGCAGGGGCCCAAGGACTTGGGCCATCTTCCACTGCTTTCCCAGGCCATAGCAGAGAGCTGGATGGGAAGTGGAGCAGCCGGGACTAGAACCGGCGCCCATATGGGATGCCGACGCTTCAGGCCAGGGCTTTAACCCACCAGCCAGCGCCACAGAGTCTATCCCTTGTGGAGTAAATGAGCCTGTTCCTTATGGAGTAAATGTTGAACTTCAGCAAGTCTTTTGGCAAAACTCAAGTTCCGTGCAAGGTTAAATGTTGGTTATTTTAGTGGTTAGAGAGATGTGTTGTTTTGTTTTGAAGGACAATGAGTATTGGGATTTTTTTTAAGTTGTAAATTTAGATAATGGCAACCAAACCACAATAAGAATCAGGTAGTAGGGCTTGGCGCTGTGGCATAATAGGCTAAGTCCCTGCCTGTGACACTGGCATCCCACATGGGTGCCAGTTCGAGTCCCGGCTGCTTCTCTTCCCATCCAGCTCTCTGCTATGGCCTGGGAAAGCAGTGGAAGATGGCCCAAGTCCTTGGGCCCCTGCACCCACGTGGGAGACCTGGAAGAAGCTCCTGGCTCCTGGCTTCGGATCAGCCCTGCTGTGGCTGTTGCAGCCAATTGGGAAGTGAACCAGCTGATGGAGGACTTATCTTAGTCTCTTCCTCTCTCTGTAACTCTATCTCTCAAATAAACAAATCTTTAAAAAAATCATTTAGCAGCTTAGAGCACACTCTTTCAGGTCTTTACATGTACATATACATACCACATAAATGTGCATGCAGGCCTATTTTAATTTATATTTACTCCTTTACTATTTTTCATTTACAAAATAGGTTTTTAAAGGTTTATTTATATATTTTATCTGAAAAGCAGTGTAACAGAGAGAGAGAAAGAGAGAGACAGAGAGAGAGAGAGAGAGAGAGGGAGGGAGATCTCCCATCTGCTGGTTCACTCCGCAATGGCCATAATAACTGGAGTGGGATCAGGCTGAAGCAGCTTTCAGGAACTTCCGCTGGGTCTCCCGTGTGGGTGCAGGGCCCCAAGTACGCGAGCCTCATTTTCTGCTTTTTCAGGCACATTAGCAGGGAGCCGGACTGGAAGCGGAGCATCTAGGACTCTAAGCCCTGCTCTGATGTGGAATGTCATCATTGCAAGTGGCAGTTTAACCCATTACAACACAGTGCCCCCCCTACAAAATATATTTGTAAAGGTTAATTTTAAGTTATGTTTTTTACATTCCACAAAGTCCTTTTTTTGATGAACATGTAATCATTACATATTTGTGGGGGACATGTGGTAATTCAAGACATGAATACGGCCCTTACTGATCAAGTCAGGTTATCAGCATTTCTGGCATGCTCCTCACTGCCTGTATCACTGAAAAGAAAAAACAAAACAAAACAAAACAAAACAAAACAAAAAACAAAAACAAAAAAAACCCACAGACGACGTGGGTCAAGGCTTCAAGGAAATCGTTACACAGTGATAAAGGATGAAATATACAAGAGGACTTCACAGGCACCAACACATATGCACATAACAACAGAACATCAAAATATACAAGGAAAACACAAATTAAATAGAGAGACAGACAAATGCACTGTCAAGGTAGGAGATTCCAGTCTTCCTCTGTCAGTAACTGAGAGACCAACTAGACAGAAAATCATTCAGCGTATGGATCACCTGAGCTGCATCGTCATCTACTTGATCGAAATGGCACTTACAAGATATTCAGTCCAACAAAAGAACAGTGCCCATGCGTTTCAAGATCCCATGGAACATCCACTAAGATAGAACACATTCCTGGAAAAGATAAATTAACAAATTCAAAAGATAAGAGTCATGCATATTGTGTTTTCAGAATACAATATAAGTAAACTAGATACTGGTCACACAAAGATAGCTGAAGGGGCCGGCGCTGTGGCACAGTGGGTAATGCTGCTGCCTGCAGTGCCGGCATCCCATATGAACACCAGTTCAAGTCCCAGCTGTTCCACTTCTGATCCAGCTCCCTGCTAATGTGCCTGGGAAAGCAGTGGAAGATGCCTCAAGTGCTTGGACCCCTGCACCCACGTGGGAGTCCTGGAAGAAGTGCAGAGCTTTGGATCGGCCCAGCTCTGGCCATTGCAGCCACTTGGGAAGTGAACCAGCAGATGGAAGATTCTCTCTCTCTCTCTCTCTCTTGCTCTTTCTCTCTCTCTCCCTCTGCCTCTCTGTAACTCTGCCTTTCAAATAAATAATTTTTTTTAAAAAGATATCTGGAAAATCCGGGTTATGTGGAAATTAAACAATAGGTTTCTACTTAACCAATAGGTCAAAGAAAACTCTCAGAAGATTAAAAAAAAATTGAGCTGCATAAAAAGGAAAATAAAACTTATTAAAAATTTTGGGATGCAGCAGAAGCAGCAATCCTTAGAGGAAGCTTTATGGCATTAAGTATATATATTATATTTAAAAAACAAACATAGACACATACATATATTCAATAACTGATGAGTCCACCTTATGAAGGGCATAGAAAGAAGAAAAGAAGTAATTAAAAGTAAAGCAGAAATTATTGAAATTAAAAACCAGAAAACAATAGAGAAGATAAAACCCATGTTAGTTCTTTGAAATTACCAACAAAATTGATAAACTTTTAGCCAAAGTAAACAAAAAATAGAGAAGACACTAGTTAGCAATATCAGAAATGAAGAGCAGACCTCACCACTAATTTCACAGACGTAAAATGAATTAATGAAGGAATATTGCGGACAATTCTGTACTTGCAAATTTGGTTAATACAGGTGAAAAACCTTAATTCTTGAAAGGCTCAACTACCAACACTTACCAGAGGGAAAGTATTTAGACTGTATAGCCTCGTTTGTTTAAAAATGTACATCAGTGTAATCTTCCACACAAGAAATCAGCAGGCTCAGGTGGGCCACTGATGTGCTTTACCACATTGAAGGAAGAAATAATAGCAGCTTCCCATAGTCTTCTCCAGAAAATGGAAGCAGAAGGAACATGACCTGATTCACTCTGTGATTCAGATTCACTCTTTTTCCCTAAGACTTTTCTTTCTTTCTTTCTTTCTTTCTTTCTTTCTTTCTTTCTTTCTTTCTTTCTTTCTTTCTTTCTTTCTTTCTTTCTTTTAAAAGTTTTATTTATTTATTTGAAAGTCAGAGTTACATAGATAGAGGAGAGGCAGAGAGAGAGCGAGATCTTCTATTCACTGGTTCACTCCCCAGATGGTCACAACAGCCAGAGCTGCACCGATCTAAAGCCAGGAGCCAGGAGCTTCTTCTGGGTCTCCCATGCAGGTGCAGGGGCCCAAGGACTTGGGCCATCTTCTACTGCTTTCCCAGGCCATAGCAGAGGCTGGATCGGAAGAGGAGCAGCTGGGACTAGAACCAGCGCCCATATGGGATGCTGGCATGGCAGGCAGAGGCTTTACCTGCTACGCCACCATGCCTGCCCCCCAGATTTACTCTTCTACCACAACCAGATGAAGACATTAAAATAAAAGAAAACTGAAAACAGTATCAAAGATTCAAAAATCCTCAACAAAATATTAGCAAGTCAAACCCGACAATGTATGGAAAGAATGATGTGCCACAATCAGACAGGCTGTGTTTCACATATGCAAAGCAGTTTCAACCTGTGAAAATCATGTTGTCCTTTCTACCAACAAGCTAAAGAAGAAAAATCATTTGATCCCATCAGGAGGTTCAGAAAAAGCATTTGACAAAACCTATCACCCTTTCAACTAGTAATCATGGGAACTTCCTTAACTTGATAAAGAATGTCTGCAGTGGGGGCCGGCGCTATGGCGTGGCAAGTAAAACCTGCAGTGCCAGCATCCCATATAGGCGCTGGTTCGAGTCCTAGCTGCTCCACTTCCCATCCAGCTCTCTGCCATGGTCTGGGAAAACAGTAGAGGAAGGCCCAAGTCCTTGAGCCCCTGCACCCACATGGGAGACCTGGAAGAAGCTCCTGACTCCTGACTTCGGATTAGCATAGCTCTGGCCATTGCGGCCAACTGGGGAGTGAATCAGTGGATGGAAGACCTCTCTCTCTTTCTCTCTCTCTCTCTGCCTCTCCTTCTCTCTGTGTGTAACTCTGACTTTCAAATAAATAAATCTTTAAAAAAATCAACAATCCTCCAGGTGACATCACACTTAATGGTGATAAACACTTTCCCTATAGCATTGAGCACAGGGTGACATGGTCCTTTCTCACTCCCGGTCTTTGATCTCATAGTCATCTTGGCCGGCAGTGAAGGTGTGTCTAATTTCTTTGTAGCTCACATGTATCGTCAGCTGTTATTTTCACTGGCTCAGGGTGCAGAGTGGCTGCAGCTACTTTCTGAGTACATCCCCGTGTGAGCCTTGCGACCCCACCCCAGTCAACAGCTCAGTCTGACTCCTTCCAGCACCAACCGATGGGGCAGGATCTTTTCCCATCGTGCATTTCCAGTGGTGTTTCACAGTCTTTGTGGAGTGCGGCCTGGCTGGGCCTGTCCTGGCTCCTCTTCCATATATGGGGGACATCAGAGACTTGAGTGAGGCATTCAAAGTCTGTGTACTTCACAAAGTACATGACTGTTTAGTTGGGACTGAAAAGTAAGTGCCCCTGTCTCAGTTTGGGGGGATGTGCCCTTTGCTGGTACCACGAATGGCTGTCACCCCAGCAGATCTGGGAACAGGCACAGGGGGAGCCAGCCCCTGGCCTCAACCCTACACATTGACCGTGCTGCCTCTGACCTGGCTGGGAGTTAGCACCTTGAGGTCTCCCTTTTGGCTGTTTTGAGAATCTCCCTTCCACTTGGTTCAGTCTCCTTGTTAAATCCGGTATATGTTATAACCTAGGACTTTTTATAAAATATCAAACAACCAAGAAAACGGTGATGCATCCTACCTGGCACCTCTAGACCGAGTCCATTTTCATGAGAACCACTGGGAAGGTGTGCTTCAGGCTAGGTGAGCCTGCGGAGGCAAGCTCATGGCCACTGATCACCTCCCCCAAGCCTGTGTTTCTTTTGGCGGGATCCGTGCCCTGCGAGTGTTACTTCACTTGAGTGTGCAATTCAGAGAGGCCCTGTCCCTCAGGGGCCCTCACTTCTGCTTTCTGGTGTGTTTTGCATGCTGACGCTTTGAGGAAAAGGCCCACTTCCCTAATTACGGACAGGTCTGTAGCAGCAAATACTCCTGCTTGTTGGGGCTTGTCTTCTGCTTTCTCTCCAAGTCAGCGCTTCTCCTTTTTCAAAAATTTTTGAGAGGCAGAGAGACCAACAGACAAAAGAGAGCACCCATCCACTGGCTTACTCCCCAGATGAGTGCAACAGCCAGGGCTGGACCAGTGTTGGAGCCAGGAACCAAGTTCGCAGCTCAGGGCTCCCACATGGGTGGCAGGAACCTAACTACTTGAGCCATTGCCACGGCCTCCCAGGGTGTGCATCCACACGCAGGAACCTGGAGTCAGGAGCCGAAGCAAGGAATTGAACCCAGGTACTCCAGTGTGGGATGTGGGTGTCTTAACTGCTTGGCCAAATGCCTGCCTCTGTTCTTCTCTGTTAAAATGCTTCTTTCTGTTTCATGTGCTTTTCCTTTGCCATCCTCCCTGTTCTGTTGCCTCTGGGGCCTGTAATTCTAGACCTTCATTTAAGTCCAGGGAACGAAGGTAGGTCAGATTCGTAGGAATCAGAAACGGGGACCTCAGGACTGTCTGTGCATCCCTAGAAAGGATCCTGGTGGGCTGTATTGGTGCATGTGCGGTTTTGTCCCCTAAGCTGCCCGCATCCCACTGCCAAGTGCATGCCCGTCTCGGAGAGCACTTTGCCATGCTAGTTGGTGCCTGCAGGTCTCCAAATGCTGAACCATCTTTCTTACCCCTTGTGTAACCTTGGCTGCTTTCTTTAAGCACGGGCTGCATGCATGCCTGCCTCTGGCTTATGGAAGACAGAGTTAGGAGATCCCAGGAAATCATCGTAAGCTTCTGGACTATTTTGCATATGTGAGTCACCCCAATTATTTTTTAATTGGCTAGGGAAAAAGTGATGGCAGATTTTTAAATACGTTTGGTAGAATCCAAGACATTCCTTTTCTTTGAATTAAAAAAAGATGTAATTTTGTTTGAAAGGCAGAGAGATGGGGTGGAGAGACAGAGACAGACAGGACACCTGTCCACTGATTCACTCCCTGAATGCTCGCAACAGCTGGTCAAGGAGCCAGGAACTCAATCCCAGCCTCCCATGTGGGTGGCAGGGACCCAAGTACTTGAGGCTTCACCTGCTGCCTCTTGCATGAGCAGAAAGCTGAACTGGGGAGTGGAACCAGGCTTCAAAACCCAGACAGTATGATGTGGGCCACGGGCATCTCAACCACTGTGCCAAGTGCCTGCCTCTGTAGATTTCTTGATCTGTGTTCAGTGGGGGGGTTTTGGTTCTCCCAGCAGCCCTAGGGTCCCTGCAAAGATTGCACTAGGGAGGTGGAGTGATGGAAAAGTAAAATGATCTGAAAGCTGAAAACCTTAGCCAGGCACCCACGGGTCAGATAGGAGAAGTCATTCCTGCTGGCCACTGTCCCTGAGGCCTCCACTGCCTCCCACTCCCTCAGATCTCCTGAGTAAGAAAGGCTCTGGGGATTGACTGGGGACAGGTGGCCCAAGAAGGGCTCTGCAGCTTGGCTGCCTTGTTCTTCTTGCCCGTGCGGTTTGCCTAGAGAAAGACAAGCTCCGTGAGATCCAGTTCTTTTCTCTCTGTTTTGTCCGTTGTTTGCATGAGTGCACTTCAAAAGGCACATAGAGAATGGAAATGAGAAGATGGCAGTTTATTTTGATACCAAACAACTTTTGAAATCCATGCATGGTGGAGTCTCCAAGAGGGTCTTGGAAAATGCACATTATCAAGAGAAACGATGCACGGACTTGAAAATTTTTTCCTCCTAAGTAAACTCATTTTTATCACATGTCCATGAACTTTTCAGAGTATCCGCATCTTTTCCCCAGGGGAGCGTGTGTGATGAGGGGTTCCCGGGGTGTGGAGGTGGTGCACATCACTGGGGAAACATCCCTGGACCTGTGCCCCACCGGCCACGACCCCAGCCTGTCCTCTTCTGCATAGAAGAGCAGAGAGGGCATTGGTAATGGGCCTCCTGTGGACACATCTGGCGCTTAGTTACTCGCAGAGCCCAGCTCTCTTGTTAATGGCCAGCTGCTCGTGCGTTCTTCCACCTCCTGGGAGCACACCTGCATGCCCTGCAGAGGCAACTGCCCAACTTCCCAGCCCTGGTCATCAGCCCAGCACAAGCGACTGCTGCCCTTCCCTGCCTGTGACCAATGGCAACCCCGTTTCAGATCACCTTCTGTGGCTTCTCCCCCTGATCCTGCACTCTGGGACAGTCTAAGCTGCATTTGGGACCTGACATGCCAGATCATAGCACAGATTCTCAAGAGGGCTTGTAAGAGGGCTTAACAGTCAACCAGGACACTTGAGCTGTTGGTCTTTCTGTGGCTGACTTGTTACCTGTAACATAATGTCCTCCAGTTCCTTCCGTGGTATTGTGATTGCCAGGATTTCATCCTTTTGTATAGCTGAGTAGTATTCCAGTGTGTGTGTGTGTGTGTGTGTGTCCTTTTCTGTATCCATTCGTCTGTGGATGGATACTTGGGTTGACTACGTCTTGGCTTTTGGAAATAATGCTGCAATGAACGTGGGAATTTCTCGTATCTCTTTCATGTGCTGATTTCATGTCCTTTGGATACGGGAGATGATGCCCAAGTTCTCACTCATTTCTGGAAGCTAAAATTGTAGAGAGTAGACTAGTGATCACTCGAGGCTGGGGAGGGTGGGGTAGAGACAGAAGGAGGTTGGATAACGGGCACCAAAATGCAGTCGGATAGGAGGAATTAGTTCTGGTGTTGCACAGCACAGTAGGGTGATCCCAGCCTTCAAAAGTCTGTGATGTATTTCAAAATAAGCTTAGAAAAGTCCCGAGGTTCCCAACACATAGAATGATTGATATTTGAGGTGAGGAAAATGCTAATACCCTAACTTGATCATTGCATATTATATACATATATTAAATCACCATACTGTACCCCATAAATATTTGCAAATCATTATTTGCCAAAAATATTATTCAAAAATATTATATGTGAATTGAAAATTTGAAAAATCACCAGGAAAGCTGTGTATATCAATAAACAGAGACTTCCTGTCTCTGTGTTGGGTCTGAGCTGGGCTCAGGACCCCGCTCTCCAGAGGTGAGTCTGGGTAGTCACCTGAGGGCCACCTACAGACTCAAGGGCATTTGTGCTGGTTCACTCCCCAAATGCTTGCAATGCCCAGGGCTCAGCCAGGCCAAAGCGGGGAGCCAGGAGCTCAATCCAGGTCTCCCATGCGGGTGGGCGGCAGAGACCGAAGTGAGTGAGTGTCACTACCACCTCCTAGGATGTGTATTAGCAGGAAGCTGCGACTGGGAGCTGAGCCAGGACTCGAACCTGGGTATTCCAGTATGGGATACAGGTGTCTTTACCGCTAGGCTGAATGCTTGCTCCTGAATCAGCAACTTCAAATTTAAAGTCAGATGTACTTAGGGCTGGGTGGCTTTCTGTAACCCAGTATGTTGACAGTTAACGTGGAGGTTGACATCAAGGTATAATACTTGCAATTTGCATGAGTCGTGTCCAGATGGGCAGAGAAAAGAGCTTCCGGGGTATTCGGGCTGAGACGGACCAGCCTTTCCTGCTGTCCTGTCAGGTCTCTCGTGGTCTGAAGGCCCAGCAGAGAGACGGCTGTTTTGAAGGTTAGGAACTAGCACTGTCCCCTCTGTTTCTAAACGTTAGTGCCCACCAGTGTTGCTCTTACTCTTTGGTTCTGAAATGTGTGTCTCTAGCTGCGAAGAAATCCCCTGAACTTGTCCTGCAAGCACGGAACAGCAACGTGAGCGTGGTGCATGGCTCCCTCTCTCGGGAGACCAGGCACCTGCCGGGTGACGCCCAGGCCGTGAGGCTGGGGGACAGGTCCTGCAGGATGGACTCCATGTCTCCTAACAAAGCCAGAGGGTGGACACCGGACCGCCTCAGGACGACTTCTGCTCGGCCCAGCGAACTCACACTCAATCTCCCTCTGGGCCGCGCTCAATCCTCCTTCTTATGAAAATTAACCACAGAGGAAGCTTGTCCTAGGGCGCAAAAAAAGCATCGGGACGCTTAGTTTTCTCAGCTTCAAACTGCAAAGGAAGTTCCCAGGCACCTTTGCTCAGGGCTGCTTTGCATGGAGGTGGCCCGGTGGCTTTGCATGTGATGGGTCTAGATTTGCATCACCCAGATGTGTGCCCCTGCATGCTGTGGACCTGGTAGAAATGGTCCCACAGGACCCCTGACTTCTGCCAGGGCGGCGCCTCAGTCTACTTTGTGAGAGCGCTCCAAAAGGTTTGTGAACGTTGAGTTCAGAGACGATGGGTATTTTTCCTGCTCCATATTTTATTATTTTTGAGATAAGATTTTAATTAACATTATAAAGGTTTAATGGCTCTACGAAACTGTTCAACAACAACAAAAAAAATGAAAACCCCGTAGTCCAACAGGAAAATAGGCGAGGGCTATAAAAATAATCAAGTGAAACTATGTTCAACTTCACACATGCAAAGTAAATTTTAAAAGAACCACAAAACCATTACAACTGTAGTAGTGTATGATTCTTATCAATTTGTTTGACAAAGGTTTAAAATAAAGTTGAGCAAAACACCGTATTTTTGATGCAAAAGAATTTTTAAATCCATGCATAATTTTACCATCATATGCATTTCCTTGAACTTTTTGAAGACCATGGGTATGCATGGATTTCAGAAATTTTGGCACCAAAATAAACTTATTCCATTTTCTGTAATTTTTTAAAAAAAGATTTATTTATCGCTTCTCAGCCTTTTGGCTAAGATCAAGTGTAGTATTTATTTGAAAGGCAGAGTTGCACAGAGAGAAGGAGAGGCAGAGAGAGAGTCTTTCATCTGCTGGTTTACTCCCCAATTGGCTGCAACGGTCAGGAGCCAGGAGCTTCTTCCGGGTCTCCCACGTGGGTGCAGGGGCCCAAGCACTTGGACCATCTTCCACTGCTTTCCCAGGCCACAGCAGAGAGCTGGATCGGAAGTGGAGCAGCCAGGACTTGAAAGGGGACCCATATGGGATGTGGGCACTGCAGGCAGCAGCTTTACCCGCTACACCACAATGCCAGCCTCTCCACAAATTTTGTTTTAAATTACACTTGTATATGAGGGGATCTCCTGCCTAATGATGCAAAAACGAGTCACCTTAAGTTGTCAAGTGCTATTGGCAGTGTTCACGACAGGAAGCTGAAGGGGAGCCAGCACCTGCAGGAGCCATGCTTCAGTGGTCACATGAACAACAGAAGCTCTGAATCACAGGGCTGAGGCCAGGATGACAACAGATAGGGTGACTGTTTAAAGAGAGGGTTCCAAAACACAGCCAGTATCCCCGGCCAAGCTGGAAA